GACACAGGGGCAGAGAGCAGGTGGGCTGGAGCTGAAGCCTCCGTCTTCAGCAAGCATGCCTTAAACAGAGCCATGTTAGTATTTGGCCTGGCCTTTGCTTTCTTCAGGTAACTGATGAGAGCCTGGGCCTCCTTGCTTGGGTCCTCAAACACCTCCTTCATAGACAAGCCCTTGAAGTCCCCGAACTCCACTTGTATTCATTCGGCTAGCTAATCTGAATCGTTCAATTCCATTTCGAGAGAGAGATCATCTGTGGTAGTAGCACAAGACATCTTCCAGGCATGTGAGTAAAACTTGCAGCAGTTCAGTGAGCAGGATGAATGAATGGTAGGTGGCGCATGGATGGCATCAAACATGTACCGCTTTGTTTTTAAAACATATAAATATAAAAAATATTACCGCGGATTTCTGGGGGACAATGATTCGCCTACATGTTATGAATGCTGGAGTACCATAAAGAGTAAATTATGAACAGTTCAGTCTGTGCCTTCAAGTCGTCTGGCCATAGGAAGACGTTACTTGAACATAACCTAATGGAATATCTTCAGAACGGCTCCAAATGACACAAAACTCATATGGGTGAGGAGAACATGATGTAATAACGTAAAATCAAGGGCCTAATTAATAAAAAAACGAAGTTCCCCTTTAAGGTTCTGAGAGACACTGGGGTGTTTGACTCTTTCATTAGAGCTGATGTGTTGCCCTTCTCGGCTGAGTCTGAGACAGGTGCCTGTGTTCCGATTCGGGGTACGGGATTAAACGTGACTTTTGTTCCTTTACATAAAGAGTTTCTAGAGTGTGAACTATTGACCGCTGTTGCACAATTGGCTGTGCGCCCTGCTTTACCAGTCTCTGTAATGGTGTTCAGAGGGAGAGTAGAGAGCAAGAAGCTCTAGGGTGATTAACCTTGGTTGAGCATCTGAGTGGCCTTTTGTTTGTTTGCCCTGGGTGTGGTTTGAGTCAGTGGAGCACAGAGATGCTACTGGTATGTATCTCACTTCATTCTCCCACTTATGTTCTAGTAAATCATGAAATGAGATTGATGATACTGATCTGAATGTTTAATTTAATTTTCTATGACTAAGTCTAATATAGAGAACTAAACTTGTTTGCATGTGTGACTATGGTTCATGGTGGAACTAATTTCTGTTTGTTTTTTTTTCTTTGTTGAGGTTATCAACCTCAACACCGTGCCTTTGGATGGATTACTGACGTCGGAGTCAGTTGAGAGAGTTTTTTTCTCAGAGCGACAAGGATAAAGGGGAATTCGCAGATGTATTTACAGCATGTGCAGTTACTAGGGCCATGGCGTGCACTCAGAATGTGAAGGAGGAAAAATGTGTGAAAACCTTAATTTGCCTTTGTTCAGTTTCCCCATGTCTCTGTCTCGCAGTGAGTTTGTGGTGGAGCAGCAAGCCGATGTTTCTTTGCAAAATCTTTTCAATCAGGTGCGACCACTGGGTGAAATAGCAGACTGTGCATGTGGATACTTCCTGCAGGACTTGTTGTTGGTGAGGAAATGGTTACTGCATGCTGACATTGTGGGTGAGCCAGTTTTTCAAATATTGGTTCCCAGTAAACTCCGCTCTGCAGTGTTAAAAGTTGCTCATGATGAGTGTGGTCATTCTGGTGTATGTAAGACATATGGGTCTTGAGAAATTTGTTTTGGCCTCGTATTACGAATGATGTTTCATCTTATGTTAGGACGTATCATGTCTGTCAGCTCATTGCCAAGCCCAATCAGGTTTGCAGCCATTCCCTTTTAACCCAATTATTGCCAAATCTGAGCAATTTTGAGCATTTTGGTTGCAGAGGATGGTTGACCCAGCCCAGGGCCCAATCGCATAGAAAGGAAGCTGGACCAATCACAGCAGCATCTTGGAGGAAGCAAAGGACAAAGTAAGCAGATTGCTGACGCTGGTGGAGAAGGAGCTCATTCACCAATGTGAACATCTAAAGGGTAGCGCACCTGTTGGGGGTCTTGCCAGCAAAACAAGACGCACCCTAATCAGGTTGGTGGAGAAGACATTAGATGAAATTGAGGAAGGTGAAGAGTCCACAGAGTCATATCAGAAGTATCTCAAGCAATTACTGTCTGATCTTTCCTCTCTGAATCCAACACTGGGAGAAACTGAGGCTGAAAATGTAGTTCAGCAGACAGGGAAGCTACAGGAGTTGAAAATGCAGTACCAGAAATTACAGCAGCAGATGGAAGAGGAGATTGGGGCATTGGAGGAAAAAATAAAGCAGAGGATGCAAGCAGAAGGAGGACACACTGCGTCAGTCCCCATTACTACAAAGGATGTAGACACAAAATCTGCAATCACCACAACCACCACACTGCCTGAGGTCACGCTGAGGTGGGAGTTTCAGATAATGGGATCGATTGGTGAAGCGGGTCAGAAGGAAAAATTGTCCTACACAAGCCTCATTAACCAGATCAAGTCGGAACTACAGAAAGGACGTGGAGAAGCAGAGATTATTGAAGCAGTCACACGTGCTGTGAGCCCAGGTCTTCATCTGTGGGAAATGTTGGAAATAAAGCGAGGACTGACATTATCCACCCTCAAAACCATATTTAAGGGGCATTCTTCCTCTGACCTGCTGTATCGTCTGATAAACATGAAACAAGACCCAAGGGACTCAGCCCAGAATTTCTTATTCAGAGCAATAGAACTAAAAGAGAAGCTAATGAGAAAATTCAGCGATGATGGTGCAAGCGCAGAAGGTGAGCAGTTCAGTCCTCAGCTAATACAGAGAAAATTCCTCTGCACTATAGAGACTGTTCTTTACAGTGATGCAGTTAAGTTCCAGCTCAAACCATATCCCAGCAACCATACCATTACAATAACATTATGCGACTCAGGTGTTCAGGCAACCATCATTAATGACGAATGGAGAAAGTGACACTTACCACACAGCGCAGTATGACCTCTCAATGAGCTGTTGGGCTCAGACATTGTATTGGGAGTGGCCGCTAACCAGACTGAAATCCCCTTCATGGGCTGGGTGGAAGCAGAATTCAGGCTAGATAAAGACTCCGCCCTGACCAAACCGCTTCTAGTACCAATCCTAGTGTCAAGTGACCCACACGTAGCAGTAAAGCCTATAACTGGCTATAATGTGATAGAGGAAATAACAGTGGAGAAGAATCAGACAACAAAGACAGAGACCACTCATACTGTGAGTCAAGCTTTTCAAATAACAGTCAGGATGGCAAAAGCAGTGCTACAGCTTATCCATGCCCCTACATATGAGGAAGATATAGGGATTGTGCACACAGGAAATAGAACACTTACTTTAGGCTCTGAACAGATCACTACGGTGTATGTTACCATCAATACTGGGGCTCAATATCATGGTCAAGACCTGCTGCTAGTTCCAAAAGACATGACATTACCACGAGACATTATAACAAGGAGGAAGGTAGGATCGCCAAAAAGCTGCTGAGAGAGGAGTGTCACACATTTGCATATGAGGATGATGAGATTGTCTCAATCCCCTCACTGAAACTCCACATAGCACTGCATGACACCACCCCAGTAAGAAAAACGTACATGGTGGTTCCGAAGCCACCACACCAGAATGTATCCAAGACTTATTAAATCAAGGTTGGATTACTCATTCACGCTCTCTGTATGCCTCACCAGTCATGTGTGTAAAAAAGAAGGATGGAACATTAAGACTTTGTTGAGACTACAGGGAGCTGAACAAAAAGTCAGTCCCTGATCGCCACCCTATACCCCAAACACAAGACATGTTCAACTCCCTCGCTGGCAGCTCCTGGTTCTCCATAAAAGACCAGGGGAAGGCCTACAATCAGGGGTTCCATCAAGGAAAGACAGCCCCTGACAGTTGTCATATTTCCCTGGGGCCTATACCTGTGGATCCAAATCCCATTCGGGTTGAGTGCAGCACCTGCAGAATTCCAGACAAACATGGAAGACTGTTTGCGTGGCTTGAGAGATGTAATGTGTCAACCATATCTCAATGACAATCTGGTCCATAGCTCAATTTTGAATACCACATTTAGCACCTGAGAACTGTGTTACGGAGAAACCAGGAGCCCGGGGTGAAGCTCAGTCCCCAGTGTTAAAGCGGAAGGTGAGATTTTTGGGGCGACTAATGTCTGGACAGGGGTACACTATGGACTCTGAGGTGGCCCCAGTCCAAGCCCTAAAGCAGAAAGCACCTACAACAGTGGGAGAACTGCAAAAAGTGATGGGATTCCTTTCATACTACCGAACATACATCCCAAACTTCTCCAGAATAGACCAGCCTCTCTACTAGCTGCTATCAATATCAGATCAAGGGAGTGGAAAGGTCAGGCCCAAAACCAGGAAAAAAGGTAACCTCCCACCTAACACTCCGATACAGTGGACAGTTAACCACCAAAACATATTGAACTCTCTCATAGATAAGCTGAAAGAGCCTCCCCTGCTGGGTTACCCAGAGTTGACCCTACCATTCATCCTCCACACAGACACATCCCAGTAAGGATTAGGAGCTGTATTATACCACAGACAGAATGGCAAGATGGCAGTAATAGGCTATGGTTCCAGGACTCTAACCCTGCCTGAAAAGAACTACCACATGCACTCGGGGAAATTAGAGATTTTAGCCCTAAAATGGGCAATATGTGAACGTTTTTGTGATTATCTTTATCAATCCCCCACACATCGTAGTTTATACAGACAACAATCCATTAACTTATATTCTCTCAACAGCTAAGCTTAATTCGACAAGTCATAGGAGGGTGAGCTGTCTGAGTTCGACTTTTCTATTAAAGGAATAGTACACCCAAAACATGATTAGCTTTCATTTTCTACTCACCCCCATGCTGAACAACACTCTGGAGTACTTTTTTGATATCTCAAATGCATCTGGAGATCTGGGAGGCTTCTTGCTGTCTGCTGACATTCAAATAATGGAGGTCTATGGTGGCTGAGGCAGAAAGGTCCATAAAAGTCCACAAAAAACGTGTCAATATTCCTCCATACTGCTCTTCCGATGTATTCCAAGTGTCCTGAGTGGGTAGCATCCAGAACTTACTCGAAACGAAGTCATTTAGAATGTTTTTAGAGCATAAACAGTAGTGTATAGGATTTCCTGAAAGCGCGCACATGCGCGCTCCCGACGCTACGGAAGCCGGCAGACTAAACCAGCGCATTCAGCTCGGCAAAGAACTCATGCTCTTCCTCAACACTGAAGTCCTCAGACATTTTTCTTTTGTTGTTTCTTTCTTTGCACAGGTAAACAGCACATTTCTTCTTCTACGCTTGCATTATTGGCAGAGCAGACGCTGAATGCGCACTTTCATCTGGCTTGGTCTGCCGGCTTCCGTAGCGTCATGAACGCGCCGGCGCGCGCTTTTAGGAAATCCTATACACTACTGTTTATGCTCTAAAAACATTCTAAATGACTTCATTTCGAGTAAATTCTGGATGCTACCCACTCAGGACACTTGGAATACATTGGACGAGCAGTATGGAGGAATATTGACACGTTTTTTGTGGACTTTTATGGACCTTTCTGTCTCGGTCACCATAGACCTCCATTATTTGAATGTCAGCAGACAGCAAGAAGCCTCCCAGATCTCCAGATGCATTTGAGATATCAAAAAAGTACTCCAGAGTGTTGTTCAGCATGGGGGTGAGTAGAAAATGAAGGCTAATCATGTTTTGGGTGTACTATTCCTTTAAGTAGGCAAGGAAAGAGTAATGCCTATCCCGCATGCTATTAGACATAGATACGTTCATGACACAGTGTACAGAGGAGGTGGGTCAGGAAGTGTTCAGTGCAGCAGTGCAGGTATTCCGTTTGCAGGGAGATAACCCTCCAGTCTGGGTAGCTACCGTCCCAACAGACACACCAGACTTAGTAAGAGATCCGAGTGCACAGCCCCAGACTAAATCTCTGACACCAGAACAGATTCGAGACAGTCAGGAAAAAAACCCTGTCACAGACCAGGTCCTGCTTTACAAGAGGAACAATCAACACCCGCCCAGGAGAGTTCTTAAAGCAGAACCAGCGTAAGTATTAATGAGACAGTGGGCTAAGTTGTATGTAAATGAGGATGAAAGTCTCTTTAGGAGAGCTGGAGATAAACATCAGCTTCTTCTCTCAAAAGAACATCATCAAGTAGTATTTCATGAGCTTCACAGAGAAATGCGACATCTTAGGGTTTATATATCTTTAAACCTGATCCAAGATCGGTTCTACTGGGCCCGGATGTACTCCGAAATAGAATACTTTTTCACCCAAGAGTGTGAATATCTCATGGCAAAGCAACGTCAATAAGCGACCAGGGCCCCCTTGACAACCATTGTCACAACACGGCCAGGGGAAATGATAGGCATTGACTTTCTGCACTTAGAGACATGCAAACGGGTTCAAGTACATTCCTATTTTGATAGATCATTTCACTGGTTTTGTCCAAGCCTATGCCATGAAAAATAAGTCTGCCAGAACTGTGGTTGACAAACTATTCAATGATTTTGCCTTGCGTGTTGGATTTCCAGAGAGTATTGATCACGACATGGGGAGAGAGTTTAACAACCAATTAATGGATCAACTACTGAGGAACTGTGTTGTGTGTGGGTCCCATACAACATGTTACTATCCTCAAGGTAATGGGAAATGTGAGAGATTCAACAAGACAGTGGGGTCACAGTTGGGTCACTGGGTTTTGCCCCTACTACCTACTGTATGGAAAGTCCCCGTTTGCCAGTAGACCTGCTTTTCAATTTACAGCCAAGAGAAGCAAAAGAGACATATGCTGAGTATGTACAGAACTGGCGAAAACGGATGCAACAAGCCTACGAGATCTGATCTAAAACAGCAGCCTGGGAAGCTCTACGAGGCAAGAATGGTCAAAAGAGCATATGGCTCTGGAAAACTGTGGGCCTACTGGGAACCTAAAGTGCATGTGGTGGTGAGGAGAAGGAGCACTGACAGCCCATTGTATGAAGTGGCACCAGAGGGAGGAGGTAAGAGGCAGGTGTTGCATAGAAACCTTCTACTCCCATGTGACAGTCTGCCTTAGGAAAAACCAGAACCAGGCCCTGCTAAATTAGAAGAGAGGATACCAACAGGGACAAAAAGAAGAAAACAGCAAACCCCCGAACCAGAGGACGACTGGGACAGTGATGAAAGTAAGCTGGTGTGTCCTTTCCCAAATCACCAACCATGTGGCGACCATGGAAATCTCTTGATACTGAGGTAATGAGTTGAACTCAAACAACCATGAATCTAGTTGCAAGAAAATGGACTCAAAATGTAAAAGGACAATGGTGAAAATTGATGGAGTGAAGAGACACTTCCAGGAGAATGTATTGAAGTAGTACTGTACAGATAGAGACTGGTAACAGACTAAAATAACTGAGGCCGATATGAGTTCTGTTACATGAGATTGTTAATCCAAATAGGGTCCGAAGCAGGGGCGGATCCAGATCATTTTCATGTGGGGGGCACAGGGGGGACAACGATGAAATCAGGGGGGCCACCTAAAAGTGCCAACAGAAATATCTCCCCACAGTTAGAAAACTAAGTGTAAACAATTACATTTCATATTTAAAGTGTTTTTATGTTTTCATTGGCTACATTAACGTTTTCATATTAATGGCCTTTTTATTTTGCAATTTCAACATTAAAATTTTAAAGTCCCCATGTTTTCATCAACATTCAGCTAGTATGTGCTATTAGAAAACTCAGTAAATATGAGCCAGGCCAGATTAAGCAGATGCAATTTATTGTGCATGAACAGCCCTCATCACTATTATTTTTCACTTCTTGCAATATTCTTCACTTTTTTACATAAGGATAAAAAAAGGATAACCAATACTCAGTCTTAAGTATATTAAGATAAATTGATACATTGTCGCAGTAGAAAGTACTCATCAGTACAACTGTATTTTCCGATTTCTGTGTCGACCACTGAACAACCTAATAAACTCATCCATATCAAAGGCCTTGGCTCTCGGTGACTCCACACTTAGCACCCCAAGGTCACTTAGTCTTTCATTGTTCATGGTGGTGCGTAAGTGACTTTTAATCAGTTTCAATGCAGAAAAGCTGCGTTGACTACTCTCAGTAGTCATCAAACCTTCTCCCCATGTTGCTATACTTGGGCTTCCGGATGACTACAAACAGTTTACTTCCAACCAGTTGGATATTTTAGCATTTACTTCCTTACTGGCAAGATAGCGTCTTCTTTTTCATTGGAAGTTAACAGTTCCCCCTTCTAGCGGCCAGTGGCTTAAAGACACCATGTCTTTTCTAAAATTGGAAAAGATAAGATACTCATTGAAAGGCAACCCTGCTAAATTCTATATCTTATGGGGCCCTTTCATGAGATTCTTTCATTCTCTTCAGTCCTCTTTCCTAGATTAGATTAGGTGATGCACCCTACCCTACTTTTTTATTAAGTTTTGTATACATTGTATTCTGTTCTGTTTTGTAAGGGAAAAAAAACAGACCCACAGGAGCTAAATTGTATGCCTTTTACTACTTTACTATCCATATATATGTATGTTTGATATGGCATACCTTATCGTTTACAGTTTAAATTATGTTTGTAATGTCTCTCTTCCTCCTAATAAAAATATTAATACAAAAAAAGAAAAGCTGCGTTATATAAATGTTTCTGTTGCAGCTGCTGCTGTCATCCGATTCGAAATAATCGTCATTATCATCCGTGTCTGTGGTCTCCTCCCTAGGTGCATCTAAAAATATTGATTGGCATAGATAACAAATTGTATTCAAATATAAATTACTTTTTTTACAATATGTTATAAAGTACATATGTTTAACAAAGCCAAACAATTAAAAACTGCACAGTACACAATGCCATCAATTTAATTTATTTAATAAAAGATAAAAGTAAATTTTTATTATATAGCTCAATATAAATCCCAATTTGCCCAGGAGAGCTTCACAATCTGTACAGCATACATCAGCATCGGTCCTTAGATCCTGGATTTAAGTGAGGGTCTGTGTTTTCACCTGGTCTGTGGGTGCTGGTCTGGCTCTGGGAAGTTTTGTTCAACATGGGATGGTCCCTGGCTGCTTTCAGGCTGACCCTAACCCTCACCTTGACCTTTACTGTTGCCCTCAAGGCTATCATCTTGACCTTTACTGTCCCTGTTCTGAGCCTGTTTCTTCTTAATGAAGAAATCTTTAATGTCTCCTTTTCTCCGTTTCATTGTTAACTCTACCTTTAAAAACATTTATTACAAAACACAGAATACACATAAAAAACATTATTTTATGGTTATTGTAAGTGGGTTAAAATTATACTTTCCTTGACTATTAAGGTTTAATTAGCATCAAGATAGCATAATCCACATGGATTTAATGTAACAAAGTCAATAATATTTTTTTATAAATAAAATATAAGCAACACTTAAGGACAAAGCTGTAGATAAGTTTCAAAAAATGTTTCATAATAAAAGCTTTATTCAGAAATTGTAGGTTTCCTACACACACTTTTACGCGAAATGCTACAGAGAGCTTTTAATTTGAAAGGATACAGGAAATGTTGAGTTCCTGCAGCTTAATGCAAAAACTTTAACAAACAGAACAAAGTTTACAGAAATATGACCAATTATACTATCGAACAGTGGGATGATACAAGTGTATTTCAAATAAAGTCCTGTAAACTTCTGTACTAGTTAAGAAAAATATGCGGAAATACGGTATAACATTTTAGCAAGCTAACGCTGGCGTTAGCGCTAGCGTTAACTTGCTGGAAAGCTATCATTAACATTAGCGCTGATTAACTCTATATCACAAAGCGGACTACTTGTAGCTTATCTAAATTCAGCACACACACAAACGAAGCCCTTAAACAAATGTAACACAGTAAAGAGCCTTCATTTGTAACAAAGTAATCATTGTCTTGTCATATTTATTACATGCAATTATCAAGAAATATAAATATGTTACCTCTCTTCCAGGACTGTACTTTTAACGGCACTTTTCAAAAACTTTTGTCCCGTTTGAAAGGCAGAATAATAGACATCCATGAAAGCCAATGACAATTTGGGTGGCACACGGGGTGGCCAATCAGATCACAAGGGGGGCGGGTGCCCCCCTTTGCCACCACGGTGGCTCCGCCTCTGGTCCGAAGTACAGTAGCTGATGTTTACTGGTATTAGGGCTAAATCGGCCAGATACTTTGATAAATGGGTACTAATTGGATGTCATGTCAAGGGCCACACAGAAAAAAAAGAAAAATTACATCATAAGTAATACCAAGTTATAAGTAAGAAACTTCAGTATTTGGCATGGTACATTTTGGGTATCAGAAGTGTCTATGAACATTTATTATTGTGGGGGGAGTGTGGCATACAGAGCCATCAGTGGGTTGAAATACTGTTTTGTTCTTCATTTAAAATAAAGAAACTGTTTCCAGCAGTTAGCCATTTATTCTTTTTAGCTCAGACATCTTACATGCAAACTTCCTGCCTGTCTGTCTTGCTCTGCAGCCTTAAGATGGTAATCACTCCTGGATAGCACCAGTACTGACCCCTTGTGGTCAGACGTGGAACACAAATATCACCACTTCCCCTTTCTCTGAAACATAAAAAAACTAAATGCATTACAAGTGTCAGTATTTACCATAGGCAACTTTTCATTAAACTACATGAACTAATCATGTTATCATTTGTGTACAGATTAAGTCTCTCAGGTTTCTTGATATGTCTTGTAGATCTTCTTAACAGCGTTTCACCTGGAAAAGATGTGTTGGTCAGATTATCAGTGTGTGTGTCAGTGTTGCAGTGTGCATCATGTGTAGAGATTGACTCCACTTCAACTTGGTTTGATTGAGCTTTTGGTCAGGAACTGTCTCTGATGTTGCTGGTGTTTTCTGGAGACTGCGCCGGTTTCGCCTGATGATCTGTCCTTCTGGCGTTTTCACGTTGTAGGACTGTGGAGCAACCTCTTGAAGAACAGTGGCTTTCGTCATCCATCCTTCAGGACTTTCAATTCTGACTGTGTCGTCCCTGCACAGTGGTGGAAGCGGCTTTGCTGTTCTGTCATAGGAAGTCTTTTGTTTCACTTTCTGATGTTTCAGCTTTTGTTCCAGCCTTGGGTATTTCTTTGGCTTTGCACAGGTTGGAAGTGTTCTTCGGAGCTTTCTCTTAATGAGCAGCTCAGCAGGTGACAGTCCGCATTCCAGAGGTGATGCTCTGTAGCTCAGTAGAGCCAGGTAAGGATCGGAGTCACTGTCTGCAGCCTTTTTTAATAGTTGCTTCAGGATGTGAACACCTTTTTCTGCTTTGCCATTAGACTGTGCATACAGTGGGCTAGATGTGACATGCTTGAAATCATAGATCTTTGCAAAGTCATGCCACTCTTTGCTCCTAAAGCATGGTCCATTGTCACTCATTAATGAATGTGGAATGCCATGTCCGGCAAAGATGGATTTGGCATGTGTAATGACACAGTTGGACGATATATTTGAAAGTAATGCCATCTCAGGGTAATTTGAGAAATAGTAAATTACTACTAAATAGTCTTTTCCTTTCAGGTGGAACAAGTCCATTCCTACTTTGTGCCATGGTGCTGTTGTCACATCAGCTACAGTCATTGGCTCTTTTGTTTGTTTGTTTCTGTATTTCTGGCATGTCTCACATCTGCTTATCATGTTGTCAATGTCTTTGTTAAGTCCAGACCAGAATACTGTGTCTCTTGCCCTTCTTTTGCATTTTTCAATTCCTAAATGTCCTTCATGTATTCTCTGCAGTAACTCTTGTCTAAGTGTACGTGGGATGACTATTCTGTTTTGTTTTAACAACAGACCATTAACTACACACAGCTCACCTCTGACATGGTAGAACTGTGGACAAGATCCTGCCGCCCATCCATTCCACATGTTCTCCATCACGCACTGTAGCTCTGGGTCTCTCGCCGTCTCGTCAATGATCTGCCGGGTCTTGGCGTTGGACACAGGAAGTGTTGCAGACACCATGTTGACATGCACCCGGACATCTTCTTCAGTCGTGCTTGCACAACTCTTGAAAGGAGCTCTTGACAGTGCATCAGCGAGAATCAGGTGTTTGCCTTGTGTGTAGATGAGTTCAAAGTCATACCACTGCATCCTCATCATCATGCGCTGTATCCGTGGTGACATTTCATTCAGGTTCTTTTTTATTATTA